AAAAAATTAGCTGGGCGTGGTGGTGCGTGCCTGTAATCCCAGCTACTCAGGAGGCTGAGGCAGGAGAATTGCCTGAACCCAGGAGGTGGAGGCTGCGGGGAGCTGAGATCGCGCCATTGCACTCCAGCCTGGGTAACATGAGTGAAACTCCGTCTCAAAAAAAAAAAAAAAAAAAGAATGTACCATAGGTTTTATGCTTTAATTAATCCTTATTTAATCATAACTTTTAATGAATCCTGTTTCTTTTGCCACCACAGTTTCATCTCCCCTGAGTTGGGTATTTCATAACAGATAGTAATAGTGCACCATTAGGCTCTCTATGTTGAAGGAATCTTGCAGGGAAACATGAGGTTGTGCTTTAACTGTGGCAGCTGCCATCAGTATCCTCCCCTTTAATTTGTTCTGATCCAAAAATAATACATATGTTTTTCTTTAATAAGTGATTTTTCAAGTTTGCATTTATTTTTCCTTGATATCGCACTTTGAGAGTCACTGTTATTAGTGCTTTGTGTAAAAGCTGAATCTTAAGACTGTGAGGTTCAGTACTGATGTTATCCACATTTCACAAACGAGGAAACGTAGGACAAACATGGTTTAAGGACTCATCCACATCCCTGTAAGTGGGTGAATCAGGATTCACAGTTGGCTGCAAAGATGAGTGATATGGTTTGGTATTACTGTTTTGTTTTGTTTTTTTGACACAGAGTTTCGCTCTTGTTGCCCAGGCTGGAGTGCAATGGCACGATCTCAGCTCACTGCAACCTTCGCCCCCAGGTTCAAGTGATTCTCCTGCCTCAGCCTCCCGAGTAGCTGTGATTACAGGGGCCTCCACCATGCCTGACTAAATTTTGTATTTTTGGTAGAGACGGGGTTTCTCCATGTTGGTCAGGCTGGTCTTGAATTCCTGATCTCAGGTGATCCGCCCACCTTGGCCCCTTAAAGTGCTGGGATTACAGGTGTGAGCCACCACCCAGCCTGAGTGACAGGGTTTGGATCTGTGTCCCTGCCCAAATCTCCTATCAAATTGTATTCCCCATTGTTGGAGGTGGTGTCTGATTGGAGGCGACTGGATCATGGGGGCAAATGTCCCCTTGGTACTGTTTTTGTGTTCGTGAGGGAGTTCTCATGAGAGCTGGTTGTTTAGAAGTGTGTGGCACCTCCTCCTCTTCTCCCTCTTCCTCCTGCTCTGGTCATGTGAAGTGCCTGATCCCACTTTGCCTTCCGAAATCATTGTAAGTTTCCCGTGGCCTCCTCAGAAGCTGAGCAGATGCCAGCATCATGCTTTCTGTACAGCCTGCAGAACTGTGAGCCAATTAAACCTATTTTCTTCATAAATTACCAAGATGGACTAATACAATGAATCTCTTTACCGTGGCACCCCACTAACATGGACAATTATTTTTCTTTTTTTCTTTTTGAAATGGAGTTTTACTCTTGTTGCCCAGGCTGGAGTGCAATGGTACAATCTTGGCTCACTGCAACCTCTGCCTCCTGGGTTCGAGCGATTCCCCTGCCTCAGCTTCCAGAGTAGCTGGGATTACAAAAGTCTGCCACTGAGCCTGACTAATTTTTGTATTTTTAGTAGAGACGGGGTGTCACCATGTTGGCTAGGCTGGTCTTGAACTCCTGATCTCAAGTGATCTGCTCGTCTAGCCTCCCAAAGTGCTGGGATTACAGGTGTGAGCAACCGTGCCCGGCCTGACCAACGCTCCTGACCCCAGCTTCTTTCCTGATCA